TGTTAACACACTACGCCGTGAAGGACTGAAATCCTGCAGCGCCCGCAAGGTCCCCCTGCTCAAGAAAGCACATATACAGGCCCGTCTGAAGTTTGCCAATGAACATCTGAATGACTCAGAGGAGAACTGGGTGAAAGTGTTGTGGTCAGATGAGAACCAAAATCGAGCTCTTTGGCATCAACTCAACTCGCCGTGTTTGGAGGAGGAGGAATGCTGCCTATGACCCCAAGAACACCATCCCCACCGTCAAACATGGAGGTGGAAACATTATGCTTTGGGGGTGTTTTTCTGCTAAGGGGACAGGACAACTTCACCGCATCAAAGGGACGATGGACGGGGCCATGTACCGTCAAATCTTGGGTGAGAACCTCCTTCCCTCAGCCAGGGCATTGAAAATGGGTCGTGGATGTGTATTCCAGCACGACAATGACCCAAAACACACGGCCAAGGCAACAAAGGAGTGGCTCAAGAAGAAGCACATTAAGGTCCTGGAGTGGCCTAGCCAGTCTCCAGACCTTAATCCCATAGAACATTTGTGGAGGGAGCTAAAGGTTCGAGTTGCCAAACGTCAGACTCGAAACCATAATGACTTGGAGAAGATCTGCAAAGAGGAGTGGGACAAAATCCCTCCTGAGATGTGTGCAAACCTGGTGGCCAACTACAAGAAACATCTGACCTCTGTGATTGCCAACAAGGGTTTTGCCACCAAGCACTAAGTCAAATACTTATTTCCCTCATTAAAATGCAAATCAATTTATAAAAATTTTGACATGCGTTTTTCTGGATTTTTTTGTTGTTATTCTGTCTCTCACTGTTCAAATAAACATACCATTAAAATTATAGACTGATCATGTCTTTGTCAGTGGGCAAACGTACAAAATCAGCAGGGGATCAAATACTTTTTTCCCTCACTGTACCTTATTTACATACAGTGGGGAGAACAAGTATTTGATACACTGCCGATTTTGCAGGTTTTCCTACTTACAAAGCATGTAGAGGTCTGTCATTTTTATCATAGGTACACTTTTTTTTTTTTTTTTTTTTCATTTAGCAGACGCTCTTATCCAGAGCGACTTACAGTTAGTGAATACATTTTTTTTACATACTGGCCCCCCGTGGGTCTCCCGGTCGCGGCCGGCTGCGACAGAGCCTGGATTCGAACCAGGATCTCTAGTGGCACAATTAACACTGCGATGCGGCGCCTTAGACCACTGCGCCACTCAGGAGACGTACACTTCAACTGTTAGAGACGGAATCTAAAACATAAATCCAGAAAATCACATTGTATGATTTTTAAGTAATTAATTTGCATTTTATTGCATGACATAAGTATTTGATCACCTTCCAACCATTAAGAATTCCAGCTCTCACAGACCTGTTAGTTTTTCTTTAAGAAGCCCTCCTGTTCTCCACTCGTTACCTGTATTAACTGCACCTGTTTGAACTCGTTACCTGTATAAAAGACACCTGTCCACACACTCAATCAAACAGACTCCAACCTCTTGTCACGCTCGTCGGTAAGAGAGGAGGACCAAGGCGCAGCGTTGAAGACGAACATACTCTTTATTTAGTGAATACACGAACAAAACGATAACGTGACAGTCCACGGTCTAACACAAAACCAACTAGAACAAGATCCCACAACTACTGTGGGAAAACAGCCTGTTTAAATGTGGTTCCCAATCAGAGACAACCAGCCACAGCTGACACTCATTGCCTCTGATTGAGAACCACACTGGCCAACATAGAAATGAAACACCTAGAACTACAACACAGAAATCTACACACCCTGGCTCAACATAACAGTGTCCCCAGAGCCAGGGCGTGACACCTCTCCACAATGGCCAAGAACAGAGAGCTGTTTAAGGACATCAGGGATAAAATTGTTGACCTGCACAAGGCTGGGATGCGCTACAGGACAATAGGCAAGCAGCTTGGTGAGAAGGCAACAACTGTTGGCGCAATTATTAGAAAATGGAAGAAGTTCAAGATGACGGTCAATCACCCTCGGTCTGGGGCTCCATGCAAGATCTCACCTTGTGGGGCATCAATGATCATGAGGAAGGTGAGGGATCAGCCCAGAACTACACGGCAGGACCTGGTCAATGACCTGAAGAGAGCTGGGACCACAGTCTCAAAGAAAACCATTAGTAACATACTATGCCGTCATAGATTAAAATCCTGCAGTGCACGCAAGGTCCCCCTGCTCAAGCCAGCGCATGTCCAGGCCCGTCTGAAGTTTGCCAATGACCATCTGGATGATCCAGAGGAGGAATGGGAGAAGGTCATGTGGTCTGATGAGACAAAAATTGAGCTTTTTGGTCTAAACTCCACTCGCCGTGTTTGGAGGAAGAAGAAGGATGAGTACAACCCCAAGAACACCATCCCAACCGTGAAGCATGGAGGTGGAAACATAATTCTTTGGGGATGCTTTTCTGCAAAGGGGACAGGACGACTGCACCATATTGAGGGGAGGATGGATGGGGCCATGTATCCCGAGATCTTGGCCAACAACCTCCTTCCCTCAGTAAGAGCATTGAAGATGGGTCGTGGCTGGGTCTTCCTGCATGACAACGACCCGAAACACACAGCCAGGGCAACTAAGGAGTGGCTCCGTAAGAAGCATCTCAAGGTCCTGGAGTGGCCTAGCCAGTCTCCAGACCTGAACCCAATAGAAAATCTTTGGAGGGAGCTGAAAGTCCGTATTGTCCAGCGACAGCCCCGAAACCTGAAGGATCTGGAGAAGGTCTGTATGGAGGAGTGGGCCAAAATCCCTGCTGCAGTGTGTGCAAACCTGGTCAAGATCTACAGGAAACGTATGATCTCTGTAATTGCAAACAAAGGTTTCTGTACCAAATATTAAGTTCTGCTTTTCTGATGTATCAAATACTTATGTCATGCAATAAAATGCAAATTAATTACTTAAAAATCATACAATGTGATTTTCTGGATGTTTGTTTTAGATTCCGTCTCTCACAGTTGAAGTATACCTATGATAATAATTACAGACCTCTACATGCTTTGTAATTAGGAAAACCTGCAAAATCGGCGGTGTATCAAATACTTGTTCTCCCCACTGTAAGTAGTCAGACACTTAGGAAAAACGCCAATGGGATGAATACTTTTGCAAGGCACTGTATTTTTTTCCCTTATCAATCTACACACAATACCCCATAATGACAAAGCAAAAACAGTTTTTTTGAAATGCCAATGTATATATATTTTTTAATCTGACCCTAAGTATTCAGATAATTTGCTATGAGACTCAAAATTGAGCTGAGGTGCATCCTGTTTCCATTGATCATCCTTGAGATGTTTTTACAACTTGATTGGAGTCCACCTGTGGTAAATTCAATTGATTGGACATGATTTGGAAAAGCACAGACCTGTCCCACAGTTGACAGTGCATGTCAGAGCAAAAACCAAGCCATAAGGTCGAAGGAATTGTCCAAGACAGGATTGGGTCGAGGCACAGATCTGGGGAAGGGTACCAAAAAATGTCTGCAGCATTGAAGGTCCCCAAGAACACAATGGCTTCCATCATTCTTAAATGAAAGACATTTGGAACCACCAAGACTCTTCCTAGAGCTGGCTGCCCGGCCAAACTGAGCAATCGCGGGAGAAGGGCCTTGGTCAGGGAGGTGACCAAGAACCCGATGGTCACTCTGACAGAGCTCCAGAGTTCCTCTGTGGAGATGGGAGAACCTTCCAGAAGGACAACCATCTCTGCAGCACTCCACCAATCAGGCCTTTATGGTAGAGTGGCCAGATGGAAGCCACTCCTCAGTAAAAGGCACATGACAGCCCGCTTGGAGTTTGCCAAAAGGCACCTAAAGACACTCAGACCAAGAGAAACAAGATTCTCACGTCTGATGAAACCAAGATTGAACTCTTTGGCCTGACGTCACATCTGGAGGAAACCTGGCACCATCCCTACGGTGAAGCATGGTGGTGGCAGCATCATGCCGTGGGTATGTTTTTAGCGGTAGGGACAGAAAGAGTAGTCAGGATCGAGGGAAAGATGAACGGAGCAAAGTACAGAGAGATCTTTGATGAAAACCTGCTCCAGAGCGCTCAGGACCTCAGACTGGGGCGAAGGTTCACCTTCCAACAGGACAACAACCCTAAGTACACAGCCAAGACAACGCAGGAGTGGCTTCGGGACAAGTCTCTGAATGTCCTTGAGTGGCCCAGCCAGAGCCCGGACTTGAACCCGATCGAACATCTCTGGAGAGACCTGAAAATAGCTGTGCAGCGACGCTCCCCATCCAACCTGACAGAGCTTGAGATAATCTGCAGAGAAGAATGGGAGAAATTCCCCAAATACAGGTGTGGCAAGTTTGTAGCGTCATACCCATGAAGACTCGAGGCTGTAATCACTGCCAAAGGTGCTTCAACAAAGTACTGAGTAAAGAGTGTGAATACTTATGTAAATGTGATATGTCAGTTTTATATATTTAATATATTTGCAAAAATGTATACAAACCTGTTTTTGCTTTGTCATGATGTGGTATTGTGTGTAGATTGTTGAGGGAAAAAAAAACAATTTAATCAATTTTAGAATAAGGCTGTAACGTAACAAAATGTGGAAAAAGTCAAGGGGTCTGAATACTTTCTGAATGCACTGTACATGCTAAAATCTCCACTGTAGGCTGTATAGAAATAATGAAGCTCAAATTGAAAATCATTAAACAAAATAATGAAGATGTCTATCAGCCTAATCAGGTGTAGATTACATCTCACATTCCAGTGTTTGAACTTGTAAAGAATGCATGGGATTTCTCTTAATGTGACTCCGTGCAGCAAATGGCAATGTCCGCTTTAGGTATATAATGCCAGGAGCAGGAAGAATGACATTATTCAGGTGAAATATGGATAATTAGGTATTTATTCAAGGTGCATTTTGTTTAGATACGCCCCCTTGGCATTTAGGCCATTCTATTGGTTTATCGTCGGTACAAAAGTCACGTGGTACCCGGAAGGAGGGTATAAATGTCGAAGTAGGCCTCATTCTGTCCTTTCGCGAAGAACTGACACGGAGATAACGTTCCTGACTCACCGCTGTTCGCTTGGAATTTACGAATAAGTCGGTCGGGAATATATAAAAAAAAAAATGGTAAGATAACATTTTAATTCCTTAAACTATACGCGAGCTAAACTCGTTACATATAGCTAACTAGCTAAGTGGAACGATGGAAGAACAGTCCGGTATTTCTTCTGAATCCGAGCAATTGCACACATGTAGTAGGTAGCTAGCGAAGATGGCTAACGTTAGCTAGCTATTTTGGCCCATAACTTTAGCTTGCTGTAGATTCCTCAATTAATGGGCGGAGATCTGATATTTTTGAAGTAGTTTTTGAATGGTTTTGATGTGACTGAGTGTAGTTTAAATGAGACTGAAGTCTTGCTGATGCCTGATTGGCGTTGCCTAGCTGTGCTAACTTGGCTTATTAGCCAACAACAAATGTCCCACCCCCCCCATATGCAACACTCTTAACTTGACATGAAGTCTTGGTTGGTTAACCTAATTTGAAGCTGTACAAATGTAGATGGATTGTTTATTAACCTCTACCTCAATTTCATTGTTGTGATGACTGGAGTAAAACATGGCCATTAACGTTACTAGTACGCCTAAAGGAATTTACATTTGTTTAGGTCAATAAAATCAATATGTGTATAGGCTAGCAGTTACCTAAGTAACTCCAATTTAAGTGACCATTGGAGTAACAAGGTGTACCCCCCAAGATGCTGAAATCCTCATTAATCATTCAGTTTATTTCTGGCGCTTGGCTGTACCACAGTCAACACTGGCTACTATGTATGCGTTCATTGATTCTACACCATTTGGCTAGAAGGTTAGAAACGTATTACAATCTGACTCAAAAGTTATTCTGAGCACATTGATGGCACATTCAATCAGATTCTTACCACACATTCAGCGTCGTTGCCCTCTTGAAATGCAGCATTCTTTTCTTGCACGTGTAGGCATTCAAGGACACTGGTAAAGCCCCTGTTGAGGCTGAGGTTGCCATCCATCGCATCCGTATCACCCTCACCAGCCGCAATGTCAAGTCTCTAGAAAAGGGTAAGCTCACTTTACTATGGCTTTCAGTCTTAAGTGAAATATTTGTTATATACTGCATTAACTTTGCGTCAACATCTTTGGCTATGAGGATAAAAACTTGATATGACATAGCAAACGGTATGACATACTGATTTATCATACGCTATTCTGAGCCTTGTGTGCGCATTGGAGCACACATGTAGCTTAGTTGCTTTCGTTTGACAAGCAGTTGTTTTCCTTTGTGTCCTTAGTGTGCGCAGACCTCATCCGTGGCGCTAAGGAGAAGAACCTCAAGGTGAAGGGACCAGTCCGTATGCCCACCAAGGTATGTACCAGATATAGATGGTGGACTTCACTGTATCCTTGACAGCCTGGGACCCACATCTGTGGTCTACCCCAGGTCTCTATAGAGGTGATGCCAAATCAATGTCCCTGCGCTTTCTGCCCGCTCTGTGGCGGCTCGGATTGAATCGGGGAAGATATGACAAACTTGGTTTAGACAACAAAACTGTCAATATGTTTAAGGCTGCAGAAGATGGTCCTCTGTAGCTCAGCTGGTAGAGCACGGCGCTTGTAACGCCAAGGTAGTGGGTTCGATCCCCGGGACCACCCATACACAAAAAAATGTATGCACGCACGACTGTAAGTCGCTTTGGATAAAAGCGTCTGCTAAATGGCTTATTATTATTATTATTATATTAAGATAGAATGAGGGAAATGGTCGTTTGTTTTCGACCAGATGCAGGGCCAAAAATTTAGTTTTTGGCCCACCAGCCAATGGCAGGTAGATGGAGAAATCTAACAGCCACTCAAGATTTTTACCAGGCAAAATATTTAAATTATAATTGCATCAAAAAAACTGAATGCTTTAATGTTTCTAAAACAACAAATGTCTTAGTCAGATGTGTTATTGTTTCATTTTGTGATCTGAATCTGTTAACCAAAATATCAAATGAGACAGCTGCCCCTTTAAGGGTGAGGTTACCATGGTAATAGGGCCACTAAAGTCCTGTCACTTGTGAGATTTGTGATCTGACTAGGGCATCTCTTCGCTAGCAGTTGAAGCAGACGCAAACTAACGTTAAACATAATTCTTGTCAACAAAACAATGTAAATTGCCAAGAAACACAAGGAAAAAGTTGCACGTTTGTGGACATTCGCGTGAATTGACGTTTATGCCTGTGCGCAACGCCTCCAAAAATGAATCGATCAGCACTTCACTCAGTGCACACAGCTCCCCTGCCAGGCAGTGTTGCTGCACGAGGTGGGATATAGTATTTGTACGTCTTTGTGCGATTAGCAGCTATGAAACAAAACAGCAGTATTACTATTATAACCGCTACTGCAGCATTTTTCAGCTATAAATTGCAACTCATGTGCTCATTTTTACCTTTGACTATTTGTATTCAGGAATGTAATGCTCGCACTGTAGAGCCCTGCAACTTGACCACGTGGCTGGTGAAATTGATATTCTTACCTGCAATACCTAAAGCTACCCACATTTGGCGGGTTATAATTTTCTGCCCTTAACAGATGGCACGAAGCCCCAAGAGGTGTTGAGAAAATGTGCCAATGTGCTTGGTCAAAAGTTTTAATCCCATTGTGACTCTTCCGCTCACCATTTGTGACATCTTATTTCATATTCTCATCTCCTTTCAGACTCTGCGGATCACCACCAGGAAGACCCCCTGTGGAGAGGGTTCCAAGACCTGGGATCGCTTCCAGATGCGGATCCACAAGCGTCTGATCGACCTGCACAGTCCCTCTGAGATTGTCAAGCAGATCACCTCCATCAGTATCGAGCCCGGTGTAGAGGTCGAGGTCACCATCGCTGACGCATAAGCTGTTTACAATAAAATATGGAAAATGCATTGCCACGGTCTTGGCTCATTATTCAATGTCGTAAGATTTTCAGTGTTGCAGGGGCTAATGGTACGGATGCTTTTATTGGAAAATTGTGGTATGCTATGAAATTGATCATCAATATAGGAATATTTCATTAACAAAATAGCTTCTCTCAACATGACTGGAGCTAGGTCCTCGTTACATACGTGGGCTTGCACTACAGGATGTTTGACTTAATTGGTGAAGGGTGTATAAGCGTAACACTGACATAGTTACGGTGTGACACTATCATGGAGAACTAGTAAGCCCTCAACCTGTTGCTGCCGATGAAAGGGCAAACATTGGGTTAGTGATCAGTCCTATACCCCCATTTTCATGCCTCCAGAGCGTCTGCTAAATGACTAAAATGTAAATGTAATGGATTTCATGACTGGGAATACAGATCTGGATCTGTTCAGGGTGTAATGACTGAGCTGTTGAATTGTGACATTGTCTCTGTACTTCCGTATTACCTTACAGTGGGTGTAACTGGCCTCGTGTAGCTCAGTTTAGAGCATGGTGCTTTCAATGCCAGGGTTGTGGGTTCGTTTCCCACAGGGGGCCGGTATGAAAAAATTTAACTGGACGGTATTGACAATATATCCAGTCACCTTGCGGTTTGCGCTTTCAGTTTTGCGCAAATGCTGCCACCCACGTTTTTTTGGGTAGGATAGGTTTTAATCGTCACCGTGGGAACATCCTCTAAACACTTCATGATGAATGTCGTTACAGTGTTAGTGTATACGTCAATGTTATTCCCAGAGGCACGCGTTCCCAGCCCAGGACCGCCAGATCCAGCTTCTTCACCTGCGGGATAGTCTGAGATCAGCCACCTGGAAAGCTGATGAAACTGGGTTTGCAAAACCGAAGAATTTCTGCAGAAACGGTCTCAAGGAAGCTCATCTGCATGTTCGTCGTCCTCACCAGGGTCTTGACCTGACTGCAGTTCGGCACCGTAACCGACTTCAGTGGGCAAATGCTCACCTTTGATGGCCGCTGGAGAAGTGTGCTCTTCACGAATGAATCTCGGTTTCAACTATACCAGGCAGATGGCAGACAGCGTGTATGGCTTCATGTCGGTGAGCGGTTTGCTGATGTGAACAGAGTGCCCCATGGTGGCGGTTGGGTTATGGTATGGGCAGGCATAAGCTATGGACAACGAACACTATTGCATTTTATCGACGGCAATTTGAATGCACAGAGATACCGTGAAGAGATCCTGAGGCCCATCGTCGTGCCATTCATCCGCTGCCATCACCTCATGTTTCAGCATGATAATGCACAGCCCCATGTCACAAGGATACACAATTCCTGGAATCTGTAAATGTCCCAGTTCTTTCATGGCCTGCATACTCACCAGACATGTCACCCATTGAGCATGTTTGGGATGCTCTGGATTGATTTGTACGACAGCGTGTTCCAGTTTCCGCCAATATCCACTACTTCGCACAGCCATCAATGAGGAGTGGGACAACATTCCACAGGCCACAATCAACAGCCTGATCAATTATATGGAAGCGCCTCCGTATCTTACGATAACACTGATAACACAGGTACATCACATCTGTAAGCCCATCTCGTTGAAGTCGGACAACATTTGTATTTTGAAACGTCAGCTGATAGAGTGGATCCTATATGCGGTTCTCTGCCTCTTCTAGTTAAGTTCAGAATGCACACAGAGATGGTGCATTGACTGCAAAATGTACACTTATAACACACAAAAACATCCAGTACCACATTTCATTACCTCACAGAACATAACTTCTGCGATGAAGTATAAGTGGGTGTCTGCGTCAAAGTCCTTGTCCCGCCGTGCGATGACCCTGAATATCTTCCTTATGAGGGCCTCTTGGCACTTGGAGACTGCAGGATGAACAAACTTGGAGCCTTCTTGTCTCACCCTGGACGATCCTGAAGGATCCAGCCACTTGCTCATCCAGACGTTTGTGACTGTGCCGTCGGAAAGCTCTCGGTATGCAATGTAATAGTTAAGTGGAAGGGTACTGTTACTCATGTGAATTGTAAGCAAATTGTAGTTGAGCGACTCATCAACACAATCATTTCTTCAGACAAGAAAGTTGCCTCAATGTCTTCGTCAGTGAGGGCATCAACATGGCGGTGGAGAGCAAGTGTTCTGGAAAATACCACGTAATAAAGTTCATTCTTTTTTATTGATCAAACGTTGTATTCCAATTGCAAAATGATGCATCATCTATGAGGTGGAATCCAAGTACATACCTGTCATATGACAAAGACTCCAGTTGTCAGAATCCGTCTGAGCCTGGTGCCATTGTGATGGGTACATGGCGGTCCATTCACTCAGATCCCAGACGTTCCTGAAGGCATTGCTGCAATAAAATTCAGGATTTTGTTATGTAGCCCTTTACACTCGTACCGTCAACATTTGCAAATGTTTTGTTGTCCGAGTAAGGGAAATGCTGTAAATTTAAGAGGACTATATATTTCAAAAGATAAGACGTTGAGGATTATAATAAATACACTTTGATGTCATACAAGCAAGCAAAACACCCGTGAGTCCAAATGTGTACATTTCCATATCATAAATCTCATGTCATACACAGTGTCAATGTTTATGATCACTATGTTTGATGTACAGTTACAAGATGACATGGCACCATACCCTGGGTCATTCTGAACAGAATTCACTGTGGCACACACATCTGAATGGACTCATAATGACCTTTTAGTTGAAGACTTATTTCTTTGAGTCATAAAAGTGCATTGAAATTACTTAGGAATTGTGCACACTTTGTAGAGGTGTGGCCACTTGGAGACACCAGTTAGTCCTCTCACTCAAATAAACCCATGTAATTTTCCAGGAATATTCTTATCACGTACTGATCATATTCAGAGTATTTTCAAATTTTGTTAATATTTCTGCTCCTGCTATTGTTGTGTCCTCACCTTTGGTCTAATAATTTTCCCATAATCTCCAAACTGTTCCCTTTCAATTGCTACCATGGTTATGCATATGCATTTCATATTTCTTCTGTAAGAAACATTTCAATTTATCCCTATACATATAGGCCAATTCCCACGAGTGTAAAGGGTATACCACAACCACAATGTGTTTTGGAATTGACATAAAGTGCATTCGGGAAAGTATTCAGACCATTTACCTTTTTCCACATTTTGTTACGTTACAGCCTTATTCTAAAATGGATTATTTGTATTTTTTTTTACTCATCAATCTACACAAAATACCCCATAAAGACTAAGCGAAAACAGGTTTTTAGAAATGTTTGCGAATTTATAAAAAAACTAAAACAGAAATACCTTGTTTACATAAGTATTCAGGCCCTTTACTATGAGACTCGAAATTGAGCTCAGCTGCATCCTGTTTCCATCGATCATCCTTGAGATGTTTCTACAACTTGATTGGAGTCCACCTGTTGTAAATTCAATTGATTGGACATGATTTGGAAAGGCACACACCTGTCTATATAGGGTCCCACAGTTGACAGTGCACATCAGAGCAAAAACCAAGCCATGAGGTCGAAGGAATTGTCTGTAGAGTTCCGAGACAGGATTGTGTCGAGGCACAGATCTGGGGAAGGGTTCTGTCGTGGAAATTCTACACAGGGACACTCAAAGTCAATCTTAAATCAATCATAGTTTATTATCAGCGCGATGGAGAGGTTCCAACCAACTCAATGCTCCGAGTCTGAGAATGAGTTTATTACAGAGAATGAAATAATGTTAGTTAGGGAGCCAATAAACCTACTGAAGCCGTTCATGTTTGAGCCGATCAATGCCCCAGGTCAAAGAGTTTGTTCTCGTAGCAGTAACAACACAGATATGCCGCCTGAAACACCTCAGCTAGAGGGTCGGCGTAGCGGTGACACAAACTGTTGTGAGTCCGGATACTGCCAGATAATGGCTAAAGAGTATGAGTGTGTGTTGTAGAGAGATGATGGCGATACAGCACAAAATCCCAGCGGATGGTGGCTGTATTATATCCAGTCAGAGGTTCCTGTCTGGATGGCGATGTATGTATTGGACGTGTCACTAATCCTTATGAAGGACTTCCTGGCAGAAGAGGTTACTCGACCAGTCAGCAGCCGATATGCCAGTGAAATAATTGCTGAAATTTTGCTTGATTATAAATTGTTTAAAGTTAATATCAGTAGTAGGTAGGTGCTCAATATATATCATCAGTATCCTATAACAATGTTTATCACACACGCTGTTTGGCGCGATGGTAACTCATTTACCTTTTGATTAGACGACCCGGAGTTCTAATCGCAGAAAGCATCATGATTCATGAAATCTCATTCTAACCAATAATGGGGCGTGCTCATTATAAATACATTGAGATTTAGTTTCGGTATCAGACTAACTTTTATGATTTTGTTTGCAGAGCATACAGGCTGGCAGTTTATCGCCAGTTCCCCCTATGGGCACAATGGAGAATTGGACGAGGTGTACGGCGTCTCATCCCTACGTGTGTCGTTTCTTCCATAAGGAGCGCATACCCAGAAGCAAAGGCATTTACGTAGGGTTTGAGCTTGAATAAAACCAGTTCATTTAGTGTCTAGCCTGCTGTAATTTTTTTCAGCACATAGACCTAATGCCTGCGCCTTATGAACAAATAGTATTAGTTAGCTTGTCCACTATAACAGGTTCAAGCGTAACCAGATAAACTTGCTTTGAAGATAAAACTAATTTCAACACGCACTAACCCAGTGTCCCTGTCGCTAGAGTAGTGACTTCGACTAGCTTTGGTTGCCATCTATTGGAAAGGAATGGTAACTACACTGGGCAGCTAGTTGACAGTCGAAATAGACGTTAAAAATATATGCCATTTAGTAGACGCCTTTATCCAAAGCGAACTGGCTACATGGTAGTGGAAACAGATCATAGAAACAGGATTACAATTTTGATATCATCGATGGTCAGTCGCTTGCATCTATAGCTCTGTCTATGAATTTGAGAGTGGTTACATTTCTTCAGCCCCATCC